TTCTATGTGTTCATAGCTAAATATTCTGGAACAATTTTCTAACTTCTTCAGAATAGGAAAGTTCTACCTGTTTAATGATTTTCTAAGTAATTGAGGACTAGGCTTATACTTGACTGACGTGTATATGTTATACTGGCATTTCAAATAACTCTTCATCCATGTATATAATGAACTAATACTTGTCACAGTAAGTATGACTCCTGCTTCCTCTTCCCTATTTCTACCACTAAGTGCCAATTTCTAGCATTCCATATTGCAGGTAAATAATATTTGGTGTTCCCAGTTCAGAGATTTAAAAATCTAAACGAGTTTTTAAAATGCCAATTGATTTGTTGAAACGGATCCTATAAGGTTCCTGCAGGCTTGTCAACTGAGAATACTTTTTAACCTGAGGGGGGGAAAAAAAAAAATCAGGAAAAAAGACTGAAGCTACACACCCTTCGTCTTCCAGCAATATGCTATTAGGAAATAGACCCCATAGCAGCAGGGAGGACTCAATTTTGATTCAAATTATAAATAAAGAAACTTTTGAGAAATGTAAGTTGTAAATCTTCTTTTGGAATAATACTTGATGCTGGTTGCTGCCCTTTCTGGCATATATATTTTTTTTATGTTAAACAAAAAAATTCTTGCTCAAACTACAGTTAGAAGTCCTTTGAGTCAAGAATTCAACATTATTCAGGTTGTCTTCCCTAGCATGGAAGGGGAAGGGGTGACATTAAAAACAACCCTGGATTCCTTCTCTTCAGAGATTCCACACAGAGATTGACAGGAGCAGAATTAGTTGAGTATTTTTGAAAGCCAGATGTTAGGACAAAATAATGAAGATTTCATCATTAATGACATATAGCTTATAATGTTAGTTTATCTTTAAAGGGTGAGAATTTGAGCTCTCTGAATAAATCTAATATTTAATGGGTAAAACAGTGTCAGTGCAGGCCAATATATATATAGCTTGAATATAAATGTGGGTATGTTACTTTATCTAAATCCATTAGAGCTGAATCTACCACCTTCCCAAAAATCATGTACAAACACAGTGGGTAAGTCAAGGAGGTGGCAAAACAAATCTCACAAATTCCATTTTTCCAGTAAGATTTCAACGCTCCTATCAGTTTTAAGAAGTTTCTGACTTGATGGCTGTTGTATCTCTAGCAATCATACTGATTGTCTCCAGTAACTATGGCATAATAAGACTGACACAGTAACCTTTGCATATAAAACTGAGAAGATGGAATCACTAAAAATAAGCACTAACAAAAATAATATCTTGAAAGTAGGAAAATGAAATGAGAATAGCCCCAGATGAGCTTAAAACCTAGCAAAGTACTGCTAGCTTTTCAAGAAATACTGACACTAAGAATGAAATGATGATGTTGAAGACAGCTGCTGAAGTCTTATTTCAGTCAGGCTAGGGCTTTGCTGTAAGTCCAATTTTATAAAACTGCTTGTAGGGCTGATTTTAGTAGGCATGAGCAGAGTTTAGTGGGTTGTAATTTAGTATCTGAGAATTATTGGTGCTGGTACTCACTGCAATAGTTTAAAAGCAGTACCTATCATATCTTGAGCACAGAGCCTTTTGTGATTTAGAAACCTCAAGTTCAGCACTACACAGGAAAGTACGTAACAAAAATTCATAGCTAATTGAGGATAACAAGAGCAGTGTGAAACAAGACCCCGTTGGGCTTGAAGGCTTTGTAGCTCTGCTTACGTCCTTGTGATGTGGATGGTGCTTTAGGGAGGGAAAGGGGAGGCTCACAGCTTGCTTACATCTGCCACAGCTGAAAGTTGGATGGGCAAAACTAGAGGTGGTAACAGAAAAAGGAAAATGGGGAAACTATCCCACCTGTGTTCTATCTGCTCTCATTCCTATTTTTAGCTCTCTCACTCCTCTTGCTCTTACTGGGCCACCCTAAGACATAAGGCAATGGGGAAATGAAGCTTGGGAGTACTTTTGCCAAATGCCTGGCAACAACCTCTAATGTACTTCCTCTATTTTAAGCATTAAGTCCTTGATTTTTAAGAGCATCTGGTGGCTTTTATGGGTACTTCAATTTGAGATAGCTTGAATGGCCTCGATTTCAGAAGAAAAGAAACTGACAACTCCTGAAAATCAGGGTTTTTTCTAGATTTCAATTTGAGTACCTGCAGTTAGGAACCTTTCCTAAAAAAAATCTTGGACTAAGCTTTTGATTTTTGTGATTTTATTACCTGTTTTTAAAAAGAAATAAGGAGCATTGTTGACTGTGTTTCAACACAAGCTTGTCTTCCTCACCAGGTTTCTCAGCAACAAGTTCCACCTCCAGAGCCACCAAGACCATCTCCACCACCTGAAATCAAAACTGAAACCAAGACAATCCAACCACCTGAAACTGAGGTGCCTGCAACATATATTCCAATTTCGGTCACCTACCGAGAACCAGATTCTAAACTACCACCTCAGAAGCCTCCAACCATGGCAGAGAAAGCTGATAAACAGGTTCCCTGTTCAGCTAACGCTGTTCCTCTGCAGGAAAGGCCTGCTCCTGAAGAAACTGTGACATCGAAGACGATGGAAACAGCAGAACCTCAAAAGCATCCAGGTGTTTTGAAAGTGGAGGCAATTCTGGAGAACGTACAAATGCTTGAGCAGGCAGTCGACTCCTTTGAAGGCAAGAAAACTGACAAAAAGTACTTGATGATTGAAGAGTATTTGACCAAAGAATTGCTAGCCCTAGACTCGGTGGACCCCGAGGGTCGTGCGGATGTGCGTCAGGCCAGGAGAGATGGTGTAAGGAAGGTCCAGAACATTTTGGAAAGACTTGAACAGAAAGCAGAAGATGTCCCAGAACCAGTTCAAGTTGATGGACTTCAGCCAACCTTGGCAGAGCCTAAGTCACCACAGGAAATCATGGAGATTGAACCTGTGGTAGTCAAGAGCAAGGGAGATACCAGTAATAAAGATGCTAAAGAGGAAACCAAAATGGAAAGACATCAGCCTGAAACTAAGGAGGAAGTGTTTACCAATCTGACCACCACAACAAACACATCTAATAATCCAACCGAGCCATAACTATGTGCTGAAATTAAAATCTCTCAGACTTCGTAACTTAAAGTGTGTTTAAGTGAATTTTAAGTTGCATGCATTTCCAGAGCTCTTTTCAACTGGTTTTTAATCAACATAGCAGCTTGGGACGCAGTAAACACTTGTGGGGAAGGAGGGAGTTAGAAAGAAAGTAATGCATTTATCCTTTATTCTTACACTATGTAAAGACATGTTCTCAAAAACAAACTCTGTACATTAATCTCTTTTAGATCTGCTGAGTGGAAAAAAAAAAAAATAATGAAAAGGAGCAACGTTTGGGTTAATGTTGATGTGTGTTGTTTAGGATGCATTCTTCTGCAGGTGATTTTTGTACAATCAAAGGCCTGCATTGTTGGAATACTGGTCCTTCTTTAAGTGTAGCCACTCATGTAACAGCAATGTTTCTATTTTTAATGTTCACAGTTGGGCACTTTAAGCAATGGTGGATAGAAAGTGTGTAAGAAACTGTAGGGATATTTATATGTGTGCAGGACTTCAATGCTATATTTTAAGAGGGAAATAAAATAATATAGAAGCCTAATTTAGTCTTGTGATTTTATGAGCTGGAAATGTAAGAGCTGCAATCGGTTTCAAATGCACTCTTCTAAGCAGACTGATTTCTGTTTGTACACCATTATAGCTGAAGTCTGAGAGCTGCTTTCTCATGAAATGTGCCTTTCTCCATTCAGTCGCTTCCTTTAAAGTTTCTCTGTTCTATTGAGTGTGTGGATTGAGTAAAGAATTTGGCTTTTTAAAAAATCTCCTGTTCTCCCTCTTTCCTGGGAGTTAAAAGTCAAAGGTGATTTGCTGGTGACTTATAGTAATTTACTTCAGAATACTTTAACTTGTTCTGTGAAGTTGTTAGCCTTTTACTAGCACTACTTCTGGATTTCCAGCCAAACACACTTTGTTTTGTGGAACACTTAGCATTCTTTTCCAGTTAAAGACATTTTGTATTCATAGCATGATTGAGAGGCAGTCCTCTCACTTCATGAGAGTTGAAGCAGTACTTGGTGGCTGGTTTAATTGATTAGCAACATGCAGTTAATCAAGGAACATAAAACATACTTCAGATTTCATCCATGAAAAATGAAAGCAGAATGATTGCAAGTGAGGCAGGAGCCTGAACCAAACTCCAGAAATTATCTTGACTTTCACGTAAAAAGAACAAATCTTTTTACGTGGCAGCTTACTTTAACAGCATATGAAGAAAACTTTCTATATAGATGCTTAAAGCAATTGTAGTCTGAATCGTGGAGTTCAATTGGAAATTAATATTGAACCCATCTGAACACTTGGCTTTAAGGGATAGGATGGGACAAGTCATCTAAAATTGCTGCTTTTTATTTTAACAGAACAATAAGTGTTCTTGAATAACAAATAGACTATGAGGTGCCTGCTTAATTGAGGTAGAGCACGGATGCTTCTTTTAGTTTCATTTTGATAGTCAACACCATGTAAAAATACACAATGTCTTGTAACCATTTGGCTGCTCTAACTTTTGGAGCAAGCAGTGTTGCAGGCATTCCAGCAGAAGAGGTGTGAAAGTTCATCCGCCTGCATAATTCTTGTATGAACTCACTTCAGTGACACATTCCTCCTGCAGGATTACATTTCAGCTGAGGACACATGTCTCTGACATCATACAACAAAAATACCTAAATTGAAGAAAATCAGCTATCGTTCTCACACATACAAGCAAAGTCTGTGGCAGACAAAAGTCTGGTTTTCCTTAGTAGCTCAATAAAGTAATTTAGATCAAAACCACCTCATTAGATGAGATGAAAATGTGGAAATTTAGATTACAGTCATAAAAACATGCTATTTACAGGAAGTTGAACAGGTGCTGTCCTTTTAAAACACGTTATCTGCTGCTAATGGAGCCTGATTCATGTTATACTATTCAAGTTGGTCAGAGTAGGTGAAGTCAGATGAAATTAACACTTTTTTAAAGAAGCAAAGGTAGAACTACAGCTACTTTCTGCTGGCAGTTCTTTAAAAGATGATTCTTAAAGTCAGCAATACTACTGCAGAATTAGGTACCATTCAAGATGAAGAAAGGTTTCATGATCTGTCCTAATAAGGGAAAGTGCATCTGGCTGCCCTGGAGCCGCCTAGTTGGAAGACTGTTGCTCTGAGTCATAGCCTTTCTTTGTTTCCTCCGTTGCTCAAGAGTAAACTACAGGCAGTCCAGCATGTCTGTCTTGACACATCAGTGTGCACATTTTGCATACAGGCTGGGATGAGGGAATAGAGAGGAAACGGGTAAAGTGAGGACTCCCACCTGCTCCCTGTAAGTTTCTGACCCGCTCTTTGTCTTTGCAGAGCTTGCTTGCATCCTTGCATTGGTGCCAATGATGTGGTTAGCTAGCAGAGAGGAAAAGAATCCTTTGTAAATTTGCATTTCTGCACTAGGGTACGACCTGGTTTATGAGTTGCCCTGAGTGACTAGGTGTGGAAACTTGGCTTTGAAACCTAGGCAGAGAGCAATTAAGGTTTTAATGCTAATGACTGAGTTACACTGCATGACATTGCATTTCAAGTGTGGCAAAAAAGTGTGCTGTGAAACATAGTTTTCAAATACACATACTGCATTTGTGATAGCCATTTCAGAAATGAAAATAACCCAAAGGTTTTCAATACAAAAAAATGAAGCTGCCTATTACTCACTTTGAGTCAATGTCAATCATCTAATTTATTCAGTATGCAAATAATCCAGTAGCCAGTGAAAGACACTGCTTCAGCTCGTTTAAAAGTAGCGAGAAGGATTTGAGAAACCTGTACACAGAATCACGATAAAAGCTTAGGCTATTTTCTGATTGCATTATCTTGTCCAGTGATACTTCAAATGCCAGCAGTGGTCTGTTTTCTATATTTAAACTATCACAGCAGAAGGCATTGTGTTTCCTATAAAAATAGCATTTTGACTATTTACACATGGCCAAATCATAGCATACCTGGAGGAAGAAGCCCTCAAGAGCAGAAATATGGCACTCTTTGGTGTCAAATTCCTTTCCTTTGGCGGGAGGTGCAAGTCCCTTATCTGTGATGTGTTTTACTTCCAACTTCAGGTTAGGTCAGCTCTGTTTGCAGACGAGTTGAGGAAGGAAAAGAGTACAAGCAAAACACTAACCCACGTGGTGGGGAGACAACACAGCACAGTTTATAGAGGCAGGTCATTCCCCCGTGCTCTAGCAGCAATGCAAACCAGCCTATGAAGGCTGGCTCAGTATCCTTAACGAGGATATTGTGTTGGGGTCAGGATGTTCTTTTAAAAATTATAGTTGAAATAATAAAAAGCTTCTGGTAGCTGGAATGTATCTACTGAATTGGACAAAGGTCAGTCTAAGATGTGACTTCTGTGCTTTTTGGTCCTCTTTTTTTTTTTTTTTTTTTTGTCCAAGTAACAAAATGCAGCTACCTAATGAAACTAAATTTCAAATTATTGGCTGTAAATATTGAATACTGGATCAATATTTGGGTCTGTTACAAAAAGTAGTATTGGTCAATAGCAATTTGGCCCACTTGGGTGAAAAGATTTTTCTTTTAGAAAAAGCTAATCTGAGCTCAGTCGTGCAGGCTGTAGAATACATATAGAAGCACTGGGCTCATTCTTAAAAATATGATTTCCTCTGTTTAACAAAAACATTACATTTAAAATCCAAATGTTTCTTCAGTCACATAATACTGTCATTAATGAAGTTTGAATAGAATAATTTTAGCATCAATAAAATGATTTTATTGGCACTTCCACCTTTTATGAGAAGCATCTCAAAATGGTGTGAGAGATCCAAACAAACTTGTCTGTTTATTTTACTCAAAACAAATAATTTGCTTAAAGATAACTGGGTGACACTAAGACACATTAGCCTTGCTGCACAAAGAATGATCCTTGCATACTGGATGATCTGGATTTCCTAGCTCTGTACAAAATCCACATTCATAGTATTGTGGGTGGCATCAGCCTGCAGTTCCGTGAAGCTCTGTGTAATGGTCTGTCTGCCCTTTGTAATACTAGATACAAATGTATGTCAGCCAGTGGATTCCAAAGCAAGAGTTATTTTAAGATGGGCAGGAACCTGGTTACAAAGTGGAGGAACATGTACCAACTCTCTGTCAAATATGCTTCCAGAATTTATAAACAGGCAACTTTTTAAAAAAGGATAGAAATTAGAGGGTATTTCAGTTATTACCCACTAGAGTTTCCACTGCTTCCACTGGAAGTTGAGAGTCTGCTCAAAAAAAAGGAAGAGGTTCAGCCTTCAGCATCCCTGCAGCAGCCAACCAGAAGTAGAAAATTTCCTATTAAACTTCAGTTTACCAAAAAAAAAAAAAAAAGTGCACTTGCCATGCATATCACTGAAAAGAATGCCAAAGGGCACTTGTCTGCAAAAACATCCTTCACTTCTCAGAATTAAACATGGAATACGGAGGTCTTCATCAGCAGTTCTTTACATCAGACATCTGTACGAGGTCTGTACAGTATCTGCAATGTGTGTTCCACAGCAAACTTGGAAATCACTGTTAGAATTTGCACTAATTGATGACATCATTAAAAGTCTCAGCAAAAAAAAAAAACCCTTCACATTGTAGAGACGTGAAAATAAGTAGTTTCTCCCAAGGAGAAATGGTACTTTTTTTAGGAAATGAGGTAAGCTGACAAGAGAATGTAATGAACTTTGATGTGCTATTACTTTAATTACACACCTCAGTGCATAGAGGATCTGTCTGCAGGGCTGTTCAGCTGCATTCACAAATTTTAAATCCATTACAAATAAAGGAGTGTGTGTGGGGGGGGTATCTTAGTTTTAGAACAACGGGACAAATATGCTGAATTTAGCAACAAAGTGGTGTGGAACTTTCTGTGATACCTGGTAATGAACAGACTTGTCTGCAAAATCATCACATGAATTACTTTAGGCCCTGCTTTATTGCCTCTCATCATCTGGTGAACTTTGAGTTCTCATTCATTTCTATTTTCAGGAAAGCTCAGCTCCTTTGCAGAAATGAGCAAGGTTTGGAATAATTCTTTTGGTGTATTCCCCATAGGGTTGGCAAGCAGATAATGGATATTTTCTGCAGCCCATATAGATCTGAGGCAAAGAATACAAAGAGACAACGGTGTTGCACGGCTCTCCAAATGCACAGCTTGCAGCTTAAGTTTTGTATGTAAGAACACTTTACCCAGCAGGAATTTTTCTATTTTATTTGAATAAAATTGAGATGAAACCAAGGAAAATTTAAAGCAATGATGCAGAGCTGCCAAAAAGATTTGACATTCTTACTTCTGTCTGGATGAGGAGCTACAGGATATGGTTTAGTAGCTTGTGGTAGCAATGGTAATGGGAGGATGGTTGGACTAGATGATCTTGTAGGTCCTTTCCAACCTTGTGATTCTATGATTCTTCCGAAGGATTGAGGTAGTGGCAGCACATTCCCCTAGTTATGTATTTCAGTCGTTAGTGCTTACTTGTTTCCCCAGAATCTTCCCTCAAAGTTGTAATTTCTGATGAGATCTTATACCTCACCACCGCCCTCTTCGATTGCCTTCCAGCTACCATAAAATCTTTCTGTTTCTCTTGGCCCATTGTCTTATCAGAGATTACAAGTGAAGACTTTTCTTAAAAATTTAGAGCTTGGTCAAAAAAAGTCTGTATTTCAACTCCTAGTTTACTACAATTAAAGGTGATCTTGAATCTTGATTCTCAACCATTAAATTCAAACCTTTAAAATTACTACATGCCTGCACAACAAGCCATCACAAAGACAGAACTCACCTGGGAGGAGGACTGTGCAAAGAAAGAGTAAATGGTATTAATGCAAAACATCCTGACAAAGAACAAATCTGCGTCAGAGGAATTTTATCATTCTCAACAGTAAAGTAAATCTCTATCTGTGAAAAAAAAAAAGTGTGATTGAAATTTCATTGTGTGGATCCACTAGATTAGACTGAACAAAGGATATAAGGTAGAAAGGGTTGTATAACGATAACATAAACAAATATTGGTGCCTAGAAACAGCAGGCATAGATGCATTAAAATATTTAAGGTACCTTAAATATTAACTGCCTAGCAACAAGTCCCTGATTACTACAAAGAAAATACGCACTACTTTGGAAGGCAGAAATCATAGCCATTATTATTATTATACTTTTTTTTTACAATAGCAATTAGACACATCATCATTATTACATAACATACAATTGCACGCACAGTGAATCCCTGCCTTAAATAGTTTGTGCTTGACTACACTAAGAAGCAATACACGAATAGGAAATCACAGGATGTGTTTTATAGAGCAGAGAAATTGACTCTCTGCATCGCTGGGCTGCAGCTCCTTCCCTGCCTCAGATTTATGTTACAGCCATCCCAACCCACCTAAGTCTACATACTCATTTCTTGATGTTTGCAATTATATTGCAATTGTGCCATACGTAGGCAAACTATCCCAAGCACATTACATGACACTGACAAAAGAGCCAATTTAGGCTGTGACTCTTAATTCCCTCTGTTGTTCATGTCATTGCAAGTTCCTGTACCTTAGTCTGCTAGTGACCCACAGTGCACTCACTAGGCAGCTCCCTGGGTTTCAGCTTGGCACTGCTAAGTCTTCTCTCACCACTACACGTACCTTATGCATGAGCCTAAAGGCCGAATTTCCTGCTCAGTCCTTGTGAAACAGCTGAAAGGATTGTGATGGAAAAAGGTTTCCAGTAATACCTAAACAAACTTTCTAATCTTGCATGTGTTCATTACAGCAGTGAGTAAACATGTTGGCAGGATGTTTCCACGCTTTGGTGGCAGGCTCTGGTAGAAGCCTACATTCCTCTGATATTTTTTTTTAAGCTCATAAAAGGTGTCAGGTTAGGGCAGGTTTGCATGCAGTTGGAAGTCTCGGGTTCTTGCAGTTCCAGTTAAAACAACCAACTTAGAAACATTCAGCATTAAAAAACAAACAAACAAACAAAAAAACCACCAAAAAACAAAAAACAGAACAAAAAAACCCACCAGGATGCTTTCAGATTTGGGTTCCAAATGAGGCTTTTAGAACCCTACTTGCACACGATACATTTCAAGCTCCATATAATACAGATAGCCATTTCCAGATGGGATCCAAGCAGAGCCTCATTCACTAGTCGTCCACTCCTGATGCATTCTTTCCTGTGATGTTCCTCTCCCTCAGGGGCAGGAAAGCCAAGGATTTTTTTTGTGCTTAGGATCTTCCTTGTTGTACTTTCTGTTTCAAAGATTGCATAGCTGAAGTTGTGAGGAGTTGGAACAGAAGTGAGTATGTTTGTGTAAACGATAGAGGAAGAAAGGCCCAAGTTCTGTGTTAGCTCATCTGGTCACTTCAGCACGCGATGGGAGTGGGCTCTGCGCAGCAGGCACTCTTGGCAAATCCAGGCTCTAAGAAACTTCCAAATTTAAAAGCTGAAGTTATTTGGGCTTGAGTCAAGAAATAAGTTTCCCACCAACCTTACTCCCAGCAAAATGCAGTCAGTGGAAGAAACTCACGATGTGAAGGAACGAGAATTTAACACTCACTGTACGGCCAAGAGTTACGTCAAGAAAATGCGCTATTGCGGCACTATTACTAAACGCAGAATTATCTTCCTCAGGACCAGCTGAACCAGCTGCATTACTGCACTTGGAAAACACGGACTCCGCTCGTTCCATCCGGCTGCCGCCGCAGCTCTATGCTATGCATGACGCCACCAGCAGCGTGACGCCGCTCCGGGAAGCGAGAGGCCGCCGGCGGCCGGCAGGGGGCGACTGAGAGCCGCGGGACAGCGCGGAACGGAACGGAGCGGAACGGAATCGGGTTTGCTTGAAAGCCTTACGTGCCTTCTTACGGCATGCAAACATTTTCAGCCCAGTCCTTTTGGAAGCTTTTAGCAACAGGAATGAGTGCTTTCTATTCTGTCTTTACTAAGCTGAATCCCAACAGAACAAAACCAAAGGATAAATGGCTGCTCCGACTAAGAATCGAAGCCGTGGCCACGGTTGGTGTTGTTAAATGGCATTTGGCTGTGGATGCTGTGTTTGATTAAAGGTAGGGTAGTAGCATCTATTTTTAAGATTGCTGGCAAGTTTTATCTTTGTCGTTATAATTAACGTAGAGGCTCGAGGCAAATCAAATCAGCCAGCAGAACAGCTGCATGCATAATGCAGCTCAGAAATCTCATTTCTCAACCCATTTTGGCTGTTCTTAAAAACCAGTAGTGGTGCAAGCACAGCTCACTTCAGTGAGCAGCCTATTCCCATACTTATTTATCCAGATTCTGACTTTCTGTCTAATCTAACGCATTTTTCCTGCAATTCTAGTCGTTATTTCTTATCTGGGATAAAAGATGGGATTGTTTACCTCAAACAAAAAAAAAACCCCACAGAAACAAAAACAAAAAAATGGCTCAAGGATGACCTTATCAATGTGTTTATGTGACTGGTGGGAGGGAGAAAAGAAGACTGAGCCAGACTCTTCTCAGTGGTACACAGTGACAAGAGGGCATAAACTGAAATACAAGAAATTCTACATAAAGATAAGAAAAAACCTTTTCGTTGTGAAAGTGGACAAAAACTGGACCAGCTTGCCAAGGCAGGTTGTGGAGTTCCCATTTTTGGAGATCCTCAGAGCTCCACAGGACACGCTCCTGGGCAGCCTGCTGTAGCTGACCCTGCTCTGAGCAGAGGGTTGGGCCAGCAGGGCCTTTCAGCCTCAGACATTGTATGACTCAGTGACAGAGGACAAAGAAAACAGCTATTCTTGTTATCTTTCCAGCATTATTTGTGTATTTCAAGACAGTTTTCCTCCTTCCCATACAACTCCGAAGAACTGCAATTCTTCAAATCCCATCTTTTAAAGTTTGGATAACAATTTGGCCTATTTTCAGTGAATTCATGTAAGTATTGAAACAATAGCATGAAACAACATAGTATTCTCACTTACTAGCAGTGGAGCAGAAGGATTACTGCATAGATCTCATGTGTAATGCTCCTGTGTATTCATCTTAGTGTAACTGGATTTTTTTCCTTTTTCCTACTGGTTGGTTCATCAGTTTGTGATCTAGGATTACCCCAAAACTCCTGATTAACCAGCTGTTCTTCAGCTTGTATTTATAGCCAGAGACATTTTCTCTTGCCTGCCATTTCATGCATTTGAGATCATTTCTTTGGCTTGGCACAAGAATATCATAACAGAATCCTGATACCTAGTGGGCTTTTAGCCCTCCTAGCCTGATCATTTACCAAACATATTGGCCATTTCATGATTTGGGCCATCAGTAAAGAATAGTACCAAACTTGTGAGTTTAGTACTAGTACCCCTTGATAACAGCCAGCATAAACAACAATAAAGTAAACATCCATAAGGAGGCTTGTCATGTATTACTTTCCCCCCTCTTCTCTCCTCCTCTCCAGCGCCAGCATGGAGGGACAGCCTTTAATAGGATGAGAAGGCCACAAGCATTATCAAGCCCCAGGTGCTGAGCTGCCAGAACGTGGTGACACCCATCATGGAACAGGAAAGTACAGAGAACACTCTCTATAAAATGAATCAGCAGCAAACCCTGAGTGGGACTTTGATTGGTGCCACAGCTGGACAGCAAAACCTGGGATCCTTCAGAGGCCAGGAGCACCTCTGTGGTATTCCTCTGAGGACTGTTTGACTCATGATCTTCTACTTAAAGTCTGAGTCTGGGTTGTGATTACTGTATTACATGCTGGTTGTTAAGAATTTGACCAGATCTACAGAGGATGTAGGTAACTGGAAAGTGTACATAACTGAGAATTCTAGAAATTCTGTGCAACTGTAAACCATGTTAGGCCCTACAAATTGTAGATTATAAGCTATGTTGATAACTAAATTTGTAATAACAAGTCTCTAATTATAACCACAACCCTGTGGCCAGTTCTCATTCTGCCAAGGATGCCTGTCCTCCATAGTATCGGGTGTCAGCCATTAGGAATCACTCTACAGGAGAAACTTCCCAACTATTTGGGGCTGTGAAGGTGTCCTGACTGGACTGCATTTCCTTGGGTAATTGTGGGAAAAGCACAAGAGGCAAGATCACAGGTCATATTAAGTTGAGATTCACTCTATCTGCCCAGAACTGCTGGACCGTCAGAAGGGTATTGATTCAACATTATTATGTTAACTGTTTCATTACACTTTGTTATCTTGCAAGTATCTGAGAGTAGATATTTTGATTGTTTTCCTTCTATTTTTTTCATTTAATGAATGAGGCAATTTGATCTAAAATTCTTAAAGTCTTCTTTGCCTTTTTTTTTTTAAATCTTAAGGTGGACAGATTCAGCGTTATACATAAAGTTATACCCTTCCATTGATCTTTGAAATATTGGAAAATCATGGTAATTTAGAAGTCCAAATACATTCCCTGCTTTATGGAGCCTTGCTCATCCTCTGTCAGTGTTCAAAGGTCAGTACTTACCATTCCAAGGCTGTCATGTCTCCACCCCATCCTACCAGACTGATGACATAATGTAGACTCCTGCAATTACAACACACACTTGTAATTTTTCCCTTCAGTAATTGCTCAAAGACAGTTCTATTTCTTCCTACAGTGAATATAGCAGGTCTATGGTGCCTTCATAAATGAAAGAATGCCTTGCAATTATTTGCATCTCTTTTTCCCCCCCAAAGACGTAAGTCATTATTTATAAGTAGATTCTAGGACATAGAACAGTTTTCAGGAATGGCTCTGGACTTTTCTCAGAAACATCTTCTGGTAAAGCTGAGTCATATGTATAGCTACATATCAATCACAGCACTATAGCTCTCTGATTTATCACATGTAGTCACAGAATTAGAGTGTAAAGCTATTATAGATACACAGTGTATATATATATATATTGCACAAATACATATATTGAAACATAACTAAAATGTCAAACAAAGTGAAAAATATATTAGTAATTGCCAGGTGTTACATGAGGCTCTGATTTCACCTTGGATTCTCATTGCCATTTCCCTTCAAAAATGCAAAACTCAGCTGACTGCAATGGCAATACACAGCTTCCCACGTTTGTCTAAAGTAGTCTTACATCTTTTTTCCCCCCTCTAATTATTTCCATAAAACACAGAGCTTTCATTTATATGCATATTAGTGTGGCTGTAATCTCTTCCACACCAACATATTAAAACATTTTACACATATCAGAATAGTCATACATAGCACCACTGTACATTATAGAACTATTATCTTTAGTTATGTATGTAAAAGTAAGAGAAGTTTTTTATCCAAGGCTCGGCAAGGATTCAGACTTCCTGATTTTCAGCCCTCTTTTTCAGTCTCATGTCTATCTTCCTTAGGTTTTACAATGACCTATATATCATCGCACAGGAAATGCAAAGCCAGCAATAAACACTATCAGCCTCTTTGTAGCAATGATCAACTATCCCAGTTATTTAAGTATAGAACATTTAATCTCTCAGGAAAATAAAGTTCTTTTAATCTTCTGATTTAGCCCTTAGAGAGTCGTAAGAATTGTAATTACCAGTATGGTACTTTACTGTGCAGCAAGTACTTGAGCACTGCAAATTCCATACGTGCCTTTTTATATCCACAAGCCACAGATGAAGGAAAAGTTGATAGCATTTTTGACCTAAATTACCACCTAGCTGCAAGAGATTCTGCTCTCACAGAAGAAGGATTCAGTGTCATTCTTAGAACTTCACATATCCCTATTCCTTTCTTACACACAGATAGGCTTCTCTGCAATATAAATGCAGCTCTACGTAGAGGTCAAGGTTCTGTAAACATGGGTTCTACTGGAGAACACTGGGTTTGTGTGATAAGGTAAGTTGAGAGATTTATGGTGGTTTTACATGTCTGCTAGAGTAAGTATATTAGCAGTGTTAGAAATAAGCACCACTTCTACAGCACAACTGTACTAAATCTGGTTTAGATATAGGAAGACTTACAGAAGACCTCTTTTACTTTTCCAGCTCATGTCATTTAGAAAGGTGATGTAATTATGTCAGTGGAAAAGCTCCTTTGGATGGCATTCTTTGTGTCTCAACACAGAGCTCTACTGCTCTAAGTATGGAAGAGCACATGAACTACATTGCTTAAAAGTTGAAACAAAACCAAGAGTTGCACTTCAGGACTGCCTCTAACGTGTTCTGGTTTCTAAGGGCTCTTGTAGCAGAAATGCGAAGTCACAGCTTGAAGCAGTGATTGAGCACCTGGTGGGAAGGCAGGGCCAACCCAGGGGAGCTCAGGTGCATGCAATGCAGCTGAGTGACCAGAAGGACTGGAGCCAGGATCCACCCCTTCCCAGCCCTCATTTAAGGGTTGGCAGTGGAAGTGAGGGGATCTTGTTGGAGATCCCTGCATACCTGAGGCTTTTTAAAGGGTAAGCAGGTTCTTTCCTTTGTTTATGTATCCACAGCTGCTGTGGGCTACTCCTTGCTTGCTGTAGCCTAGGACTTTGCTACCTTGCTATCATTGCTGTGCTTTCCATCATATTATAGCATTACAGGTCTGTAGGGTAAAGCCAGGTTGGTGTCAAATAAAGCTTCTGAAATGTGCATAGTGCAGAAGCTGGTTTTGCAGCACCAGCTGTTTTGTTCTCCAGATCCTCTCCTATTTTACTACGCTGCTTGCTGAAATAGGCGTGTTTGGTATCAGTATATTTGTATTATAGACATGATCTGATTTTTGTGTTTCTTGACAATTCATAAGTAAATGAGTGACACTAAAGTAAATCTATTTCTGTTCAGTATGGGCCCTCTGAGTTTACTGCTACTCTAGTTAGGATCATTTGGAACCTGGTTTCATAAACACTACTTTAGTAGGCTATTCAGCAGTTACATTAGTTCCCTGAATTCAGTTCACAGTATGCTGCACAAATGCTTGTGGCTATACAGTGCAGGCATGGGACAAGAATAGCAACATACAGCTGGAAAGGAGGAAATGATTATTTAAGCTGGCTTTAGCACTATTGTTAGTGAATGTCACAAATGTGTCAAAACTCTGAGAAGTTCTTCTGGACTTCTCCTGGTTTTATTTTGTTTTCTTATTAAAAGACTAAGTTCCTTTGTCCTATAACTTAGCTTTTTGACCTTACTAGAAGCAAAATCTTGTCTACTTTTTAAAAAACATGAACTATTTTGCCTTTAAAAAAAAAAACAAAAAAAACCAACCCAAACTTAAAAGTAAAAAATGAAGGTAAGCTCTTCCAAAAGGAGTAAAGCTTCTAATTTGCTTTCAGAATATTTTAAAATTTTATTTTACTGAATATCTCTTAACACAGTGCCAGTAGACTTCCATCCTGCCTTTTATTAAATTCATTTTACCCTTCTTCCAAAACACTGAGTTGAACACTGTTTCACAAATAGAAGCATGAGCAGGACAATGCTGTCTTTGAAACCCTTCCACAGAAGCCTAAATTCTGACCCCATGTCACCTTAATAAAAACCCATATGGTCATGAGGAAGCATGTTTCAGAAGCACCTACACTGAAAGCTCCTTTTGCCAAAGCATTGGTATACATAGGTCTAGACAGGGTGTTGTGCAGACTTCCTTGATGCATCTGGATGATGAGATTAATGCTCAGTCAGCCCTTAATAAATGGAAAGACTATCATAGGGCTGTGCAGTAGAACATAGAATCTATTTAGTGAAGCACTTCTTGTGTCTGAAATAGCCTACTCAGTACACTTGCAAAACTAGCAGCAAAGTAGTACATCTATGTATCAGATCGGGAAAAACAAGCAGAATTGGCTGTAATCAAGCTGTGGATCTTATTATGGTGGTGGCAAAGAGTGACCTGTCATTTAACTTCAAAAAAGTTATGAATTAAATATGGTCTTGCTATACTATAAATAATAACTTACTGAGGTGGACCAACAATAATATAAGGAATCCTTTCACGGATGATTACACTTGCTTGGTAGACCACAAGTGGAATTTGCAATTATAGAATGAAATTAAAAAAAAAAAAAGTAATCATAGGCACTAAAGAAATTCCCCTTTGTTTTTTTGCACACAATCTCACTGATTTGATCTTAACAGTAATTGCAAGAGGGAAATCAATATGTTATCCATCAGCCATGTAATATATTCAGATGTTAACCACATACACACAGTTTTCAAAGGAGAATTTCATTATTTTCCTGTGTGCTGAGTGAGGCTCAGTGGAAATATTCCCACTGGTAAATAAGTCACTTCTATGGGGAAGGAGGAAATGCCAGAATCCTTCTCCCTGTAGAGATAACTACAACTGCCATATGGAAAATGTGGCAGTTAAAAATAAATGCAAACAAAAATCCTTATGCTGAACTTCTTTCCCTGGAGGGGAATTCTTGGAGGAATTCTCATTTTGTTGCAAGAAGTTAATATTTTAACAGTGGTTTTATAATTTTCTGTCATAGTAAAAATGAAGTTTTCTTTTTCCCAGAGTATTTAGTACTAAGATAATGTCTGCAGGTACTTCTGAAGTGTTCTGGTGCCAATTGTTGCTATCACAAACCTATTTTTATCTGCTGTAAGTTGCCAATCAGAAGTGCCTACTGTGTTACTGTTGCTCTAAGGCAGTTTCATCTCAAAGCAGAGTAAACCTATCTAAAAAGTACAGAAAAGCCATTTCAAATATATTTCTGAATCAGGAAGTCACTTTCTTGCATCACAGTCCCTAACCATCTCACATAGATGGGAGCTGCCATATCAAGTTAGTCAACATGTGATGAAGAATTAGGCAAATGAAAGAATATGATTGCAATATTGCAGAAGTCCTCATCCATGGATGTGATTGAAGATAGTAAGAGCACAGCAGCATGGATTTATTATTCATACTCATCTATTGAAAGGAATGTGTCAAAGAAACTGGCAAACCAGTTTGTCTTGTCTGTAAATAACTATCTTGCAAGAAAACCAGCAGGTGTAACAGAAGGTCAGCTGGACTGAATGGAGAACACATAACCAGCCTCTAATGCAAAAAGGAAGCATATGGAAAACCTAAATGCATATGGACTACAGATGCATTGCCTGGGCACACAAGGATGAAAATAGGAAGAACAAAACACCATTAGATTAAAAAGTGGCAAAGAGTATGAAGTGAAATAAGAAAGGCTTCTTTAACTATTTTGGCATCAAAAAGATGACCAAAGCAAAAAGTGAATCCACTGCTAAGAGGTCTGCAACTCTATGATGACACAGAAAAGGCTGAGGCCTTTTCTGAGGATCTCCTTTGAGGCCTTTCATGCTTACGTGTCTAATAGTGAACTTATCACAGCACTTGACAGTTCTGTAAATAACTAGATGGAATATATCTTAAATAAATAATAGAGTAGCGAAAATTACTTCCATGTATTGCTAGATAGTTAAATAAGTGACAGCTCATCTTGTCATTCCAAAGCAATGCAGTAAATGTGCTTACTATATAACTTCCACCAACTTCACCTATGAAGTGGTATCTCTGATAGTAAAAAAGCATGAGCTGAATATGACAACACAGGTAAATAGGAATGCTTCAAATACTATTATTGG